CAGTTAGGGTAGCTACTTTTGTATTAGGATATTTAATTTTAAAGTAATAAAAAGGTGGCGAAGGTGTGGCTATTGGGGGAGGCTGGAGGCCATATATTAAAAAATAAATAAATAAAATAGTAGTAGTAGCGACTAAAATTTATAAAAGATGGAAAGCAAAACACCGAGGATGTTGACAGAAAGTTTGGTAACAAGATGAGTGTGGGAAAAGTGTCTTTGGCGGTAAGATCTCTCACAGAGGAATCTTCCGGTTGTGTTTTGCCAATAAATAGAGAGACATTACAACAACTGAAGGAAAAACATCAGGTTCCAGGGTGTCTATATCCCTCCAAACGCTGTCACGTTCGAGAAAAAAACAGTTGGGATGGTGTGAAAAAAGCACTGAAGACACAGGTCTGGATGCAGACGGTTGAAGAGTCATCCTCAGCACTAACAAGTTTTGCCCCATAGCAAGTGATCTCTGCAATGCCATCGCTGCCCTTGCAAGAAAGCTAGCAACCTCGTACTGCCATCACCTTCATGCTCTGATGGCCTGCCGTCTCATTCCCCTGGATAAAAATCCAGAATGTAGGCCTATAGGAGTGGGGGAAGTGCTGAGGCGGATCATTGGAAAATGCATAATGGGGGTGGTAAAGGATGATGTTAGGGCAGCTGCAGGGAACCTGCAAGTATGTGCTGGCCACCAGGCTGGAGGGGAAGCTGCCATTCACGCCATGAGAAAGATTTTTGAGCAGCGTAATTGTGAGGCAGTACTCCTGGTTGATGCTTCCAATGCATTCAACATAATCAACCGCAAAGCTACACGGCACAACATCAAGATCAAGTGTCCAAGCTTTAAAATGTATGTTGAAAAATCTATAGGAACCCAACAGACTTCTGTATAACAAGCTTCAAGACTCTAAGGGGAGATACCATCATACAGTCAACTGAGGGAACGATGTAGGGGGACCTTGTTGCCATGGCAATGTACGCACTAGGCCTGTCCGTGCTCCAACACACAATAAAATTTGAAACAACCACAGTCAAGCAAGTGGCGTACGCTGATGACCTTACAGAAGCAGGAAAAGTGGAGGACATCAAAAAGTGGTGGAACCTGATAACAGCACGTGGTCCACAAATAGGGTACTACCCAAATGCCAGCAAGTCCTTCCTCATTGTGAAGCCAGAACACTATGAACGGGCAATGGAGGTGTTCGGTGGAAGAGAGGTTAAAATAACAAAGGATGGCCAAAGACACCTACATGCAGTAATCGGCACGAAGGACTTCAAGACCGAGTACGTAACGGGAAAGGTAATTGAATGGGTTAAGGAAATCCAAGCTCTGTCTGATATTGATATAAAAGAGCCACATGCAGTTTTTGTGGTATTCACCCATGGAGTCAAGCATCGCTGGAATTACCTGATGCACACTATCCCTGATGTCAGACCCCTCGTCCAACCTCTGGAAGAAGCCATCAGCGTCAATTTTATTCCCAAATTAGTGAAACACCTTCACTTAACCCCAACAGAAAAGTCAATCCTTGCACTACCACCAAGACTGGGAGGAATGGGACTGACCAATCCAGAGGAGCTTGCTGCCATTGAACATCAGAACTCAGTCAAGCTCACGTCAGCCCTCACAGACTACATAATAGCTCAGAATGCAACAGGTGAGGTGGATAACAATGAATTGAACAAAATTCGACGGTCCATTACCATGGCAGACCCTGCTGCCATATGGCATCACGAATATTGTGACCAAGTCCCAGGTTGCTGATCTGACTTTCTGCCTGATTTACACACAATTGCAGGGTCTTAATTGTTTCTCTTACTATTGACAACACAACATACATATATCGTTTCTCACTCTTGATCTTTTTTAAGTTTTTGTATTTCTTTATGGTTCTTTTTTATTATTATTATTACAGTATAGTCTCGTTTTACGCTGTCAATTAAACCCATCGACGTCCGCGTATAGAGCGAAATGCGTAAACGAAATAACAGAACATATGGGATTAATACAAATAGAGACAGGGCCAACCCCCAGACTACCCTTTTTCCGACACAATATGTACATTGTAGTAAAAATAACATCTTAATTTTATGATGGTATGCACACACAATTAATATACAAGAGAAATATCAATAATATTAGGTTTTTTAACACTTACGTTAGTAGAAGAGATGGCTGGGTACACAGGGATGGAGGGCTGGTTCTGAAGCAGATGGCAGATTAGTGGCCCTCAGGTGTATCACTTGTATCACCTGTATCACTATCCACCACAGAGGCTAGCAGGGCCTCCATGTCAAACCCCTCAAAGTCCATATCCTCACTATCATATCACTGACTTGGGCTGGCTGTGGCTGTGGTGGATTGCGGGTGAAGAACTCAGTAATGTTTCGTTGATGGCTAGCATTGATGTGGTCGTGATACATCTGGACTTATGGCTCCATAGATTTCAACAGAAGGTTATTTGACACTTCATAGCGATGATTGACTGGGTCTTTGGCAAGGATGAGCTTGATTTTCTCAACAAACTCGATGACCTCCTTCACATCACTATGTGTTAGTTTCTGTTCCTGTTCTTCCGTAACACCTGGCTGTTCACTGACGTCATCATCTTCTAATATCTCCTCCGCAGTCACCGCAGGTTGCCTGATTACCTCCAGGATGTCATGGTTGGTGGTCTCGGAGAAACCTGCAGCTCTAACGCTTTGTGCAGCCTCTCTTGCAATGTCCAATGCCACAGCAACAGGCTGAGCCTCACCGGCCACCGCTTGACTCTGCCTCCCACCTGGGATACCCTCCAACACATGCCGCCACGCGTGACGAATCGTTGCCACAGACAGCTGCCTCCATGCCTCCACCAAGAAATCAACAGCTTTCTTGACGTTAAACAGTTTCCAGAACTGCTTGACCCGCACTTCATGCTCCGCCAAATCTTGTTCTGGATCCTCGTCCTCGCTCTCGCTATCGGTGCCACTCAGAAGGTTCTGCAATTCATCCTTGGTGTTGGTGAAGTCGTTCAGGAACCGAAACTTCTTTGCGGAGAAAGCAGCCTTGACGTTTCACATCAACTCCTGATCCATGGGCTGGATTAATGACGTAGTGTTAGGGGGAAGGAAGACCACTTTTACATTGGGGTGACGATCCAGCAATAGGGGCAAGTGTCCTGGTGCGTTATCAAGGAGCAACAAAATGTTGAATGGAACATTATGTTGCTCGCAGAATTTCTTCACGTCAGGAAAGAAGGGGATGCGTGGGTGGTAAGGATGCGTGGCCCAATCACAGTCCGAAACGCCATCTGACATCAGCGGTGACGCAAGAGCGACCTAGTGCGCAGCTTGCCCGCGCCGCTTCCCGCGTAAATTCAGGAATGTACCGCGTAACTAATAATTGGCGCGTCTGGACAGGTGCCGCGTAAATGACCAATCTCGTATAAAATATCCGCGTAAATCGAGACTATACTGTATTGTTATTATTATTTTATTTTATTTTATTTTTTTATTATAAATTTTATTTTCTATGAAATAATTATTATTATTATTGTTATTATTATTACATTTTCGCCCCCAGGCCCTGATGTTGGTCAGTGTCCTGTGCCCGGGAAGGCTAATCCCAGCCAAAAAAAAAAAACTTGCTCTCGATGCTGCACACAGATTAGAGCATATGAGAAGATAATTCTGAATGTTGATCAAAGCAGCTTCACTCCTCTGGAGTTCTCAACCTCTGGCGGGATGGGACCGAGTGCAAGATGTTTCTATGCAAGACTGGCTGGGGTGTTATCCGAACAGAAGCAGCAGCCCAGAAGTTGCGTTACAGCCTGGTTGAGATGTCGACTGTCCTTCTCTCTGCTTAGGTCTGCATTGTTTTGCCTCAGGGGAACGAAAGCATCAGTCCCAAAGTCGACAACGGTCACAGATATTGACTATGAGGCAACAGTCAATGAGTGTAGCATAGATCTGTGACTCAACTAACTCAACACAGCTAAGGTAGCTACTTTTGTATTAGGATATTTAATTTCAAGGTAATAAAATGGCGACAAAGCTGTGACTATTGGGGGAGGCTGGAGGCCACATTATATATATATATATATATATATATATATATATATATATATATATATATATATATATATATATATATATATATATATATATATATATATATATATATATATATATATATATATATATATAAAAGTAGTAGTGTGTGTGTGTGGTGAAGGGAGGAGCATCATGTTCCTGCCTTCTACACTGCAGTGGTGCCATATCTCCCAGTAAAAACTTTCAGGATGCTATCTGCCATGCAACTTTGTGTTTTCAGTGTACATAGTGTATATAATATACACACTATGTACAGAACTAATTTTATTGTTATATTGATAAGTAAATAACATAAGGAAGTAGATAGAAGTGATAGTAGACATGCTGGTACAGTGCAGAAATGTTTTCCTACACCCCTGTGGTTTCCTACACCCCTGTGGTAACCAATGTCTCCAAATGGCACCGTTGCTGTAGTAGTATCACTATTTATGAATGAATGGGCATTGTTCGTGTAACAATGGACGTGATTGAAGGATAGGTTTGCTATAAATCATATAGGTTGGCTGTTTAGAGACACAGATTACCACAGGAAATGTAGGAACACATTTCCGCAACTGTACCTCTGAATGACACTGCAGCATGGCAATATTCTTATACCCGAGACCTTTAAACCATGCAACAAGCTCATAGGTGTGTTTTTCATTGTTACCATGTGACTTTTGGGGTCCTTTGTGGTTGTTTTAACCAACAAAATTTTTTGGAAAATCTTTGACTATCTGGGAATCACTTGGGTTAAATTGACCATCTATGGGTTAACACGAGAATATATGTAAGGACATGTTGCAACATCTATAAGTAGCAATTTTCTCAAACATTTTAGTATTGAAATTATAGCATTCAATAAGAATACAACAATTGTTTTTTCTTCAATAAGAACACAAAATATTTAAAATAATTACATTTTCAATACATACCTATGTTTGGAATGAAGAAAATTAAGAGGAATAACAACCCCACCAAATTATTGGAAGCAGTAATGAGACCACCAACAATGACCTCTGAGCAGGGGTAGGCATTCTCCACAGCCAATTCAAAGAACAAAGGAACTGCAGCAAAGCTGAATGTGAATCCTCCAACAACAGACACACAAATCTGCACTGCGAACAACATGATCATTAATATATATACAGTATATCCAATGACCGATTATATTTCTGATTTAAAAACTAATGTCAAGTGATCGGATATCTAAATGTAGCCTAATGGTACATTTGAGGTAGTTAAAGATAAGAACTGTGGATAATGAAATCTTAGGATAATTTCATGTTTATGGAAAGGCAGAAGCTCTAAAGATATGAATAAAACTTTAAGAGTAAAAAAAAAAAAAATTGCAAGATGAGCTGCATTGTTTTGGAGTAACTTGAAGAGTAAAAGTGGCTAAAAGCAAATGTAAATTTCAACACTTTATCTGTCTGAATGTAAAGGTGCTGTGGACTCAGCCATTTTCCCACCAACCTTTGTGATAAAAACACCCCCTTCTGCCACAGAGCAAGTTAACACATTAACAACACAGAAACTGAATACTGTAAATTAATATTAGTCCTCTGACAGCTCTGGACTGAGATAGTTCATACAATACTTACATTTAGTAACAGTTATAGATCCCCAAGTCAAGAGGAAAAACCAATATAAGCAGCAAATATCTGCTATCAATATCACAATGAGTGATATCTTCACATGGCCATAAACCATGTCTGTCAACCGACCAGATAACAAACCAGCCACTCCCGAAAGTGTCAAACTCAGGAGTCCTACCAACATAGCATCGTTCTGGGGAAAGAAATAATAGTATAATACAGATAATTCACTACTGTATACTGTACTTTGATTTGTTAACTCTAACCTAAATGAAGAAAACAGGATGCAGACACAGTAGATATTTGCGCACTGTACAATATATAATTCCATTATATTAAAAAAATATATATATTCCTTGTTGATAAGATGCAATTTATAAAATGCTGGTCATCAGTAAACAAACTGGTCACTGTATATATACAGTGATGTCTCCGTTAGGTGGAACAATTGGTGCAGAGCATTTCCAGGAATGAGAGATTTCCGAGTGACGAGACGACTCTCTTAACCTCTATGCCCCTGTCGCCAGGCTGTCTTTGTGTTTGTTAGAGCAAGTAATGCATATAAATGATTATCGGAATAAAAAATACACAAATAAATACATTTATAACATAATGATAGCATTATTTTCCAGTAATACTACATTACAATACAACTACACTACTTTTAGCAATATTACTTTGATACAACATGATAAAATGGACAAACAATGAAAATGAAACAAACAAAAGTAGATAATTACGTTCAGGAAGTCTCCTTGTGGCTGAGCGTGTGGTGTGACAGGCAAATAGTCACACTGGAACCTGATAACCTGCGCTGTGCATTTAAACAATGCCAAGAAAAGGCGCGCGCTCCGGAACTTCAACCGGGGAGCCCTAGATGGATGTTCCGGAATGTCAACCAAGGCGTAGGTGTTAAACCCAGGAAAATCCCCCATCCCCAAATTTTTCTGGGTGATGGGAAATTTTTCTCTGAATATCTGGAAATTGCGCCGGGTTTTCATTTCTGAAACCCGGAAAAAATCCCCCACCCCAGAATATTTCTGGGTACAGGGAAAATGTTCTCGGAATATTCCTGACAATACGCCCCTCGGAAAATCATTCCCAAACCCTGAGTTTTCCAGAAAAGTTCCGAGCAAATTTCAATTCCGGCTATCGGAGAGTTCTAGCTAAGAGGGATTTCTGCTAACGGAGATATTTATATACAATACAATACTCATAGAAACATACAATGAGACTTAATTATCTGGTACATAATGCTGAACAGGTTTGATAAAATAAAACGACAAATTAGGGAAATTTAGGAACAGTACTAAAGTCAAAAAATTTGTTTATGGCTTTTTCCATTTAATGATGATATACTGTACTGTGAACACTAGAAGACATGGTTGTCTGCTTAAACTTCTCCAGGGGAGGGCAAGGTTAGGTTAGTTTTGGTTTGGTTAGGATTTTGTCCTAGGAAGTTTTTATTCCGAAGTGGTTTTAGGTTTAAAGTTTTTCTCCTATAAAATGTCACAGACTTGACTTAGGAGACTAGAACTTATATTGCTGGAATTCTTGTAAGATAGTTATTAATTGGAGTATAAACATCTCATAGTTTGCACAAGAGAAAAATGTTAGTCCTTTTTCTTTTCTATTTTTAATTTCTTTTTCCTCTCATTTTTTCGCCACCCAGGCCCCGTTGTGGGTCGATGACCTATGGCCGGGTGGGCTATTCCCCGTGTAAAAAAAAAGAAAAAAAGAAAAAAGAAAAGTACAAAGTGAGTACAGTAATATGTTGCTCAAAATTATGGCTTTTTCACAGGGAGAATTCTGTATAACTAGCCCCCGTGGTCAGGATATTATGGTATTAATTGTTACAGAGTACAGCTCCTCCCAGACTTATGACCTACTCAACTTACGACCACCCGCACTTACGACCTGTCTCAGTCGTACCAAAAATTTTGTCAAATTACGTATTTTCGGGTCCCAACGTCAGTGCACAGAGAAAATTTTTGTTTGTAATTCACTTTAAAATGGCTGGCAAGCTTAAAAGTGAGAGTTTTGTGGTGCTGTGAAGAAATAAGAGACACCCATTTTAGATTTTCTATGTATTATTTAAGCATTTTCGACTTACGGCCTGGATTTGGGTCCCTAACCCGTCGTAAGTAGGGGAGGAGCTGTATTTCAAATAAATTCTTTGTTTAGTTCTGTTCATAGAGACTGATAGTGGAGGAGACCCTTGGGGAGAGAAACTGACCGCTCGTGCTCACCCCCCAAAAATGTTTGTCTGCCTCTGTCATTCTTATGGGCAAAATATTGTTTATTTATCATTTATTAATTAGTAAAGATATGTTACTGTAATAATCTGAGAATATTAATATTAGGACCCTTCATATACAGTCAAATGCAGTGGTCACTCGATTAACGAACACAATTGGTTCCACAGAGTCAGTCGTTAAATGAAAATTTCATTAACTGAATCTATTAGTTCAATGGGATATTGGTGAATTGGTTCCAACTCACAGAAAAAGTACATTCAAAATACTGTATACCGGTAATAGAATTAACAAAATATTAAATATAAACTAAATATAGTACTGTACTGTACAATAAATAAAAAAAACCAATAGAATACTGTATTTTAACTTACTTTCAGGTGTGTGTGTGTGTGTGTCGTATTCCCAGCGGCTTTGTTTTCATAGCAAACAGCCGATTGTAGAGGCAGTCGATGATGACATGCCATATTCTTTAGAGTGCATTGGTTTTAATGCTTTCTTCGTACTTCTTAATAATTTCTACACTTTATATTATCAATGTGTTAACTATATTTCAGAATGACCAATAATTTTAATGTAAAAATGCAAAAATATTCAAGAGACCAACAAACTTGATGTTTACTCCACTGTAAACAAAGTTAAATTGAGAAGTGTTGGCGGGCGATTCGATCAGTTGAGGGGCGCACAAAAACTGTTCCCTGTACTGTCTATATTATCAATATGTTAACTAAATTCAGAATGACCAATAATTTTAATACAGGTACTCCTCAACTTACGAACCTACTCAACTTATGACAACCCAGACATACTACCGCCGTGGTCGTATAAAATATTTTTCAAATTTACGTATTTTCAAGTCCTGACGTTAGTGATCGTGCTGTGTACTGACAAAATTTTCGTTTGTAATCCCCTTTAAAATGGCTGGCAAGCGTAAAAGTGAGAGTTCTCGTGGTGCCGAGAAGAAAAAGAGACACCGATTTTAGAATTTCTATGTACAGTATTACTTTCGCCTTTTCAACTTGCGACCAATTAGACTTACGACCTGGTCGTCGGGACGGAACCCCGTCATAAGTCGAGGACAGACTTATAAAAAATGCAAAAATATTAAAGAGCACAACTTTCTTCATATTTACTCCACTGGAAACAAACGTAAACATAGAACCATTTACTGTATTGGCGAACTAGCCGATCAGCTGATGCGCACACCAATTCGTGTTTCTCGTAAGGTTGTCGTTAATAGAACTGAAAATCCTTAACCCTTAAGCCCCAGGTTAGGGTGCTGCTGGCAGTAACCCCCCCCCCCCTTGTGGGAATAAACTGATGCACACACCAATTCGTGTTTTTCGTAAGGTTGTCGTTAATAGAACTGAAAATCCTTAACCCTTAAGCCCCAGGTTAGGGTGCTGCTGGCAGTAACCCCCCCCCCCCTTGTGGGAATAAACTGATGCACACACCAATTCGTGTTTTTCGTAAGGTTGTCGTTAATAGAACTGAAAATCCTTAACCCTTAAGCCCCAGGTTAGGTGCTGCTGGCAGTAACACCCCCTTGTTGTGGGAATAAACTGATGCCACACCAAGGTTTTTCGTAAATAGAACTGAAAATCCTTAACCCTTAAGCCCCAGGTTAGTGCTGCTGGCAGTAACCCCCTCTTGGGAATAAATCAAGAAAAATAATCAACTTTTCAAAAAAAAAAAAAAAAAAAAAAAAAATGGTGGGAAAATAGGCGAACGTTCTGGAACGTCACCCAGGGTGTGCTAGTCGGATGTTCTGGAACATCACCCAGGGCCTAGGGGTTAAGAGGGCTAATTCGTTAACCGAAATCTCATAAATTGAACCGCTCGTTAATGGAGGGACCACTGTACAGTCTCTCCTCCACTTATGAAGGGGTTCCATTCCGACGACCATATCGTAAGTCGATTGAGCTAAGTCGAATAAGGAAAATAATACATAGCACAGTAGTGTCGGGATATATAGAGACTTTATATAACGATTTTTTTATATCACGGCTACTAAAATTATCTACATTTTCCAATATACAGTAATACCCCGCTTTACGTGTTTCTACATTTACGTGGTACCCCGCCAGAACCGGAATGTTCACTTTACGCGGTGCATCTACTTATATACACGGGAAGCGACGCGGGCAGAGTGCGCACAAGGTTGCCCAGTCATCAAAACATTACCGAGTTCTTCACCCGCCACCCACCACAGCAGGCCCAAGTCAGTGATAGTGATATAGTGAGGATATGGACTTATATGGACTTTGAGGGGTTTGACAAAGAGGCCCTGCAAGCCTCTGTGGTGGATAGTGATACAATTGATACAAGTGATACAGGTGAGGGCCAATAATCTGCCCTCCGCCTCGGAGTCAACCCTCCATCCCCGTGTGCCCAGCCATCTTTTCTATTAATGTAAGTGTTCAAAAACCTAATATTATTGATAATTCTCTTAATTATTAATTGTGTGTGCATACCATCATAAAATTAAGAAGTTATTTTTACTACAACGTAGGTATTGTGTCTGAAAAAGTGGAGTTTGGGGGTCGGCCCGGTCTCTATTTCAATTAATCCCATATGTTTTGTTGTTCGCTTTACGCGGGCCTCCGTGGGTTCAATTGACCGCGTAAAGCGAGGTACAGTCATGCGCCGGTTAACGTCCGACCGAACAACGTCCGATCGCATATACGTCCATGAACCCCCCCCCCCCCAAAAAAAACGTGATGCCTGCTGGACCACCACTCCACGACCCCCTGACGGACATGATGATCCTCCCCATACTGGTCAGATATTATGTGTTAAAGGAATATGCTTCCTTACTTAGGCTTTTTTAAGCATTTGCCTACAGGTGAAATGTTAACCTACATCTATTGAGGATAAAATCTTTCACCTACAAATTGACAATAACACATTTGCTGTAATCAGACATATCTAGTTGCCTCAACAATTGCAACCCCAGTTGCAATTGGGGTTGCAATTTCAAATTCTGTGGCATTACTAAAAATAGTAAAGTTTCTGGTGCACTCTAAGATTAAGAGAGAAAACGGAGGACTCAGGCGTCCTGATGTGAGAGAAAACGGACTCGTATGACGGGGGACCAAATAAAAAAAGCATAGCTACATGTTTTGTGGACTACAGTATTAAGCGTACCCTTTTCATCACTTTGTAATAAACCTAGCCATGCCTATGTGTGTTTATGATATTTACCATAACATTATATATATATTTAGTGGGTCTAAATGGTCGTAAAATGGGAAACTTGGGGTTGGGTCTTGGGTAAATGAACCAATTAGAATAAATCCCATAGGTTCTGTACTTTCGTTATCGGCGGGGTCCCAATTAGGCGCGATAACCAAGGGGACTGACTGTACTGTATATACTTGTGACACTGGCCAGTTGCTTCTGGTGTTATGGTACAGGGGTACCAAGTGACAGCACTAGGATCCCGCTTCCTCTATCAAGGAATAAACAATTAAAATTTAAATTGAAAAAAAAACATTCAAATAAATTACTATCTTACAAGAATCCCTCCAATGTAAGTTATATTCACCCAGGTCGTTTGGGTGGAAAATTATGAGAAGAGCTTAGTCACTCTTAAGTAATGATAAATAAAGATGCAGGCAGGCCTTCAGCGCCAACTGTCAAATCTAATCTCAAGTAAATAAACAAACAAACGCCAGACATTCTGTCACCTCACTTCCCGCCCCCTCCCCCCCCGCCGTCTTCCCACCATCCAGGCTTTCTTGTTACTGCGATAAAACACTGGCAGTGTGTGCTTGCTGACATGTTTAAAAGCCCTGGGGTTCTCTGAATGATAGATCATGAAGGGCTTTAGCTTGAAACCAGCAACATTCCTCCCCAACAGAAGTGTAATTCTGTCCTTAAATGCCTTGAATCCGGGTATTGTTTTCGCCTTTTTGTGGATGTATGTCCGCTCAGGCATGCGCTTCCACAATAATCCTGTCTCATCCACATTGAATATTTGCTCAGGCAAATAATTCCCTTCCACAATCACATCATCTAACTCCTCCTTAAAAGCTTCGGCAGCACCAACATCGGCACTAGCTGCCTCTCCAATCACCTTAACATTGTGTAGACTGTAGCATTTTTTAAATCTATCAAACCACCCATGACTTCCTGAAAAGGTTTGCTCACATTCATCTCCTGCCTGCTCCTTCAGGCTTTGGAACAGGCTTCTTGCTTTAGCCTGTATGTTTAGGACGCTTAAGGGTACATGCTTCTGTATCTGGTCTTCTATCTATATCACCAATAATTTTTCCATATCGTGAATAGGACCTTGTCTTTTCTTTGATATTATAGTTCCCTTTATAGGTGTTGTTACTTTCAATACTTCACGAATACGTTCCTTGTCCTTCAGAATAATGGATATAGTCGAGTGTGAGAAACCTAGGTCACGTGAAATTGTTGCTACTGTTTTTCCATTCTCATGCTGTGTTATTATCTTCATTTTCATCTCAAAAGTAATTGCCTGTCTCCTTTTCCTTGGAACACCACCAGCACTCTCACTTTTACGCTTTCCAGTCATTATAAAGTCATTAAATACGATAATAACGAAAGTTCACAGTGCGATCAGCATAGGATGCGATAGCCAAGTACAAACAAAGCGCTCCACTGAGTGAGTGCACCCACGAGGCGACCCGAGACGCGCCACCCTCTCGCCCGGGACGGAAACGATTCGGTACAGAAAATGCGCGCGTCATTTGAAAATATTTTTGGTCACGACGGTCGCAGTCATATGTCCCGACGGGCGTACGGTCAAAGCAGGTCGTAAGTACCAATGGACGTAAGTCCATGTAGTCGTAAGTTGGGGTCTAGCTGTACAATAAACCAATCACAGCTAGCAGGGGAGGGAGGTAAGGATGCTTGGCCCAATCACAGTCCGATACGTCATATGACGTCACCGATAACGCAACAAAGACATACACTGCGCAACCTACTCGCGCCGCTTACACAACATGGCGGGATGGCGGGAGGTTTGAATCCAAAAATGGCGCGGCGCGAGAGGACCGCCAGCCGCTCTCCGTGTAAAAGGGTACAAGCACTGCGTAAAGTGAGCATTCCGTGTTCAGCAGGGTACCGCGTAAACGTGGAAATGCGTAAAGTGAAACCGCGTAAAGCGGGGTTTTACTGTACAGTCAACCCTCACTTTACGCGGTTAATTCAACCCACAGGGTACCGCGGAAAGTGAGAAACGCGTAAAGTGAACAACATAACATATGGGATTAATTGAAATAAGAGACCGGGCCGACCCCCAAACTCCACTTTTTGACGACACACAACTATGTTGTAGTAAAAATATTATCTTAACTTTATGATGGTATGCACACACAATTAATAATTAAGAGAAATATAAATAACATTAGGTTTTTTAACACTTACATTAGTAGAAAAGATGGCTGGGCACACGGGGATGGGGGGTTGGTTCCGAGGCAGAGGGCAGATTATTGGCCCTCACCTGTATCACTTGTATCAATTGTATCACTATCCACCACAGAGGCTTGCAGGGCCTCTTTGTCAAACCCCTCAAAGTCCATATAAGTCCATATCCTCACTATAATTATCACTATCACTGACTTGGGTCGGCTGTGGTGGGTGGCGGGTGAAGAACTCGGTAATGTTTTGATGACTGGGCGACTTGTGCGCACCATGCTCGCGCCGCTTACACAACATGGCGGATGGCGGGAGAGGGCGGGAGAGATGGCGGGAGGTTTGGATCCAAAAATGGCGCGGCTCGCCAGCCGCTCTCCGCGTAAAGGGGTACACGCACCGCGGAATGTGAGCATTCCGGTTTCGGCAAGGTTACCGCAGAAACATGGAAACGCGGAATGTGGGACCGCGTAAAGCGAGGGTTGACTGTATAAAAATTTTAAATAAAAGAGTGTACAATAAAAAAAATGGAGGACTGTGGCTATAGCTGGGAACATAGCACCTGTTTTACTATGGAAATCTGCATTTTTTAGGAACATGACCTCTGGCATAAACAAAGACAACCTATATATTGTATAGTGTAAAGTACACAAAAATGTATCTAGGAGAACACAAAAAATAATATGAATTATACAGGATTCTTAGCTGATATGTGTCTGATGCATGCCCAGGTCATAGAGAGATATAACTACCTGTATTGCATGCCAAGATCATAAAGACAGACATATCTGTTCTATGACCAGTCATTAAGGAAGACATATCTGGTATTTCCCAGAGTAATAAAAGTAGACAAACCTAGTGCACGTTCAGGCCATAAACACATAATTAGTGCATGCCCATGTCATAGAGTGAAACATACCTGGTGCATGCCCAGGTCATGGAGGGAGAAGTTGAGTACACTTGCCCAGGCAGCAGGAATTCCTATACAAAGGGAATATGACAAAGTCACTAACAAGAGGTCCCAGTTTCTGCAATTTAGAAGATCCTGTGTAAATAAATACTGCAAGCAGTTGGTGATAAAGTCTGGCTGCTGGAAGTAAGCTTTGTTACATCATGGAACAAAAATACTGAAAATAAAGTTAACATTGAGCATGGAAAATATAGTTCATAAAATTTACAAATCAGACCCACTTGAAAAAATCCAAAAGCAAATTTTTGGACAGAGTAAAAGTTTTCAATTTTGAAAGGTGTCTGATTTCTATGGCATTGGTATTACAGTGAATCCTTCAGTGGTTTCATGAAATAAGAGATGGGCTTGAATAGAAGAAGGCCTTAACAACTTATACTAAAAAATTTTAAGGATAATTTGTCTAAAAATGAGAAGAGATAACATAAAAAAGTTGAAATTGCTCATAAAGTAGGATGGACTGTACTGTATAGTTCTAATAATAGACTGAAGGATCATCATGCTGAATAAAAAAGATGTGGGTGTTTCTCTCACAAAATGTGTGAATGACAATGACTTTTGCATAAGAAACTACAGTACCTGTAACAGGAAAATCTTAACTAATACAGTAGTACCCCGCTTAACGCGGTCAATTGAACCCACAGGGTACCGCGTTAAGTGAAAACCGCGTTAAGTGAACAACAGAACATATGGGATTAATTCCAATAGAGACTGGCCCGACCCCCAAACTCCACTTTTTGACGACACACAACTATGTTGTAGTAAAAATTTTATCTTAACTTTATGATGGTATGCACACACAATTAATAATTAAGAGAAATATCAATAATATTAGGTTTTTTAACACTTGCATTAGTAGAAAAGATGGCTGGGCACACGGGGATGGGGGGTTGGTTCCGAGGCAGAGGGCAGATTATTGGCCCTCACCTGTATCACTTGTATCAATTGTATCACTATCCACCACAGAGGCTTGCAGGGCCTCTTTGTCAAACCCCTCAAAGGCCATATAAGTCCATATCCTCACTATAATTATCACTATCACTGACTTGGGCCGGCTGTGGTGGGTGGCGGGTGAAGAACTCGGTAATGTTTTGATGACTGGGCGACCTTGTGCGCATCGTGCCCGCGCCGCTTCCCGCGTATATGATGAAAAATTCTGCGTTAAGTGAAAGTTCAGCTCTAGCGAGGCACCGCGTATATGGTAAAACGCGTTAAGTGAAACCGCGTTAGGCGGGGTAATACTGTACATTCAAATAAATATACGAGAAATTCTCATCCAGCAATTAAAAAAATATATACAGTACACAGATACTTTAAATATAAACATACAATATTACCTCTCTATATCAAAATAAGTGATTAGCTGCCAGTTCAGTAGAATGAGTTTTTCGGTATAAAACGAATGTGAAAACTCTCCCTCTCTCACACACAACTACTGCTGACTATTTTGCTGTTACTCGGAATCGAGTATGATGATCATCCAGCTATGATACAATGATACGAGATATTAAATATGTCACCTTCGTTGGCGAGCTCTGAGGTGACTCAAGAGGCTGAAACGGGACTGACAAGGCCATCGACAGATCTTCCATGTGTGGAGGGCTATTTCTAGTGCGGGAGGGGCGGCGGCAGTGTTTTTCTGGTGCTGGTGGTTGTCTGCCTTGGTATGCAGTTGGGCTAACTCGAAAGTATTGACATTTCATGTGGTGCTCCTCCAAGCGTTACGGTGTGGAATGATCGTTTCCCAGGTGAGGGGGGGTCGATATGGTACTTTTTAAGGTTTGTCCTTATACCTTTTCCATTGCCTGCCAGCATTACGTTTGCCATTCATTAGGTGACTGTAAAGTAGCTGCTTTGATAGTCTCCTGTCATCCACGTGGGTAACATGGTCAGTCCAACATAGTTCTTCAATACTCCTACAGTTGGTGTCAGTGAGAATACTGGCATTTGTTCTCTTGTCTTCCCAGCAAACTCTAAAAATGGAAAGTAGACTACATTGGTCAAAGTTTTCAAGTGCCTTGAGGTGCCTTCTGCATGTGACCCATATCTCGCTGCCAACTTCATAGGAAATTTCAGCTCCATACAGCTGAAGATACAAGTATGGAGTCTGACAAAGGCTTGAGATGCACATCTGATTCGATGTTGAATCTCTTCAATGATGTCCACTGTGGTAGATGGGTGGGAGCCGAGATACCGAAAGTGGGTAGTACTGTTAACCTAGATGGGTGGTGGAGGTGTGACTAAACCAGGGGCAGGCTGAAAGAGAATCTGAGTCTTACATACATTCACTCCAAGGCCAAAGTGTGCACACACATCTGTGTACGTGCTCAAGATCTCCTGTAGGTCGTATTCAGTGTGAAAAATGAGGGTGAGGTTGCCTGGATACTGAAGTTCAGTGATGGAAGTGGGCGACATATTTGTTCCTGCCTTGAGTCATCTTATGTTGAAAAGACCCTTCATCCCGTACTGGATGTCCACCCCGCCGGCTAAATTGGCACTGGTACAAGTAAAGAAGGCAACCAAGAAAATGAGAAAGAGAATTGGTGACAGTACACATTCTTGTTTAATCCCCATTTGGATGGGGAAGAATGTTGTTGTTCTCTGCACCTTTCCTGTATCTGGCAGGCAGCAAAGATCATGTCAGTGATGCCACATGATGGTCTTAAATAAAGCCAGACTGATATTCTGAGAGGAAGTTCTCTGCCTCAGTAAAAAGTTCATTTAGGAGGACTCGGGTGATAATCTTGACAGCTACAGACAGCAGCAAGATCCCGCATTAGTTGCCACAGTCTGACTGGTCTCCCCTGTTCTCATAAATACTGACGATGGAGGCGTCTTTAAGAGCTTTGGGGATCTCCTCCTTCTCCCATATATTCTCCAGGAGAGAGTGAAGACAGCTGGAAAGAAGAAGTCCTCCTGCTTTATACACCTCAGCTGGGATTCCATCAGGCCCTGTGACTTTGTTATTTTTCATCTGCTTGATGGCAGTAGCCACCTCATCCAGGGATGGAGGATAGCTGAGGTGGGTCAGCTCTGGGTGCTGAGGAACCTGCTGGGCAGTTAGAACATCCACATCAATGTTTCCGTTGAGCACCAAATGGTGGTGCTCTTTCCAGGGCTGAGATGCCTTCTTCGTCTTTAATTAAGGAGTTACCATCGGATGAGCGGAGGGGAGCCACGCCATGAGTAATTGGGCCATATATTGTTTTAGTGGAATTGAAAAATTCATGCACCTTGTGTTGATCTGCAAATTTTGGTATTTCACACGCTTTATTTTTTCACCATTCATTTTTTAGATTGTGAAGTTTGTGCTAGGCTGCCACTTTCTTCTCACGGAAGGTATCAGCTTTGGTTTGAGACTGAGGGTTGTTCTGCCAGTCAGTGAAAGCAGCAAGTTTACCATTGACGATTAGGATGATTTCCTGGTTATTTTCATCAAACCAATCCTGGTGTTTACTTTCAATCTGGCCGAGGGTCTCGCTGCAGGTTTTTTTCATGACAGCATCGAGGATAGCCCAGATTTAAGTCGCTCTCTGAAAGCATGTTTTACTGCTTGATACTCCAGTTGCTTGGTGTTAAAAACCTTTTCTGGAGGCTTGTAACCTTCACCGTTTATAGGCAGCGTGAAAGAAGAGTTTGGCTCTGACAAGCTGATGTTCTGTGTCAAAGTGGTCTGAGCCACGCACGGCTCGGGTGATCAAGACATCTTGGTAATCTCTTTCTTTGACAATGAAGCAGTCAATGAGATGACTATGTTCAGATCATGGGTGTTGCCAAGAACCTTTGAACTTGTCACCCTGCCTAAACAAGGTGTTGGCAATAGCGAGGTTGTGTTTGGCACAAATGCTGAGGAGTAGGCCATTGGGATTACACTTGCCCACTCCTTTTAACCCTATGGTTCCCTGCCATATGTCAACATCTCTGCCAACTCTGGCATTGAAGTTACAAAGGAGCACCACCTTATCTTCTCTGGGGATAGACGTAAGCACTCTGTCAATGTTGGCATAAAAAGCCTTCTTGATGTCATCCTCTGTATCCAGTGTTGGGGAGTATATACTGATGAAGAAGGAATGACACGGGTGATTCAGTGGGACTTGGAGTATCATGAGGCGCTCGTTGATCCCAACAGGCATTTCAGTTAGCCTATGTAGGATGGATTGGCAAATGGCAAAGCCAATGCCATAAATGCAGTTTTCCTCAGCAGAAGAAGGTGTAGCCAGACCCCCGTTCTGTGAGTCGACCCTCGTCTGGGAGTCGGGACTCACTAATGGCTGCTGTGTGGCTGTTATACCTAGCCAGCTCTTTTGCCACAAAGGCAGTTCTTCTTTCAGGACGCTCAATTGTATCAGTATCAAGAAGGGTCCTGACATTCCATGCAGCAACCATAAGAGGTTGTATAGTTTGTTTTTTTGCTTTGATCTGTGATTATGTTTTCAACCATATTAGGATGACCTTACTGGGTGGAGTTACCCAGTCAGGTTAGTTTTTTATACAGGCTATGTTTAGGGCACCATTTATAGTCCCTCCCCATGTGGGATGAGCAGATTGGCTCCTGGGAAGAGCTGCTCAGTCGCACAAACAGGATGCACTGCTGCCTAGATCCCAGTGAACAAAAGACCATCTTATCTATGCCACCCATGTGTAGAGTTGTGACTAGAGACTCTTGACAGTCATCTCTGCCTGTCCCCATCGCCACTCGTCTGTCGCCATAGGACTTTTGAGGGTATTGGGGTTTTGATGATGATGAGAGGTATGATGGGCTGGATGATGGCTGTGCTCGATTGATTTATGTAGTGAGGCAGAAGCGCAGACTGCATCCACACATCTTGGCTCCTGTTTTCCTGATCCAGTAGAGCAGGTAGCTGCAACAACTGGGGAGAGGGAGAGTTGTAATAGACTGCTGTGAGCATAGTTTATTTGGTTTTGCCTTAGTAGCCAGTCCATCTTGCATTGCCTTCATCTGCCAGTGTAGTTGTTGGGTTCCCGTGTTGGTCACCTCTTCTGCCTATTCCACCATTGGGGTCTTGTTGGAGCTCTGTAAGCATGTCTGCCTGATGTGGG